CTTAGTTTACTGCATTACCTAGAAGCTGTAAGACAATGACAAATGCTGTCAGAGATTATGCGGCATCCAAGATTGTTCTGATCTTTAATGGCAAATAGTTTAATATTTGTTTTGATTTCATATAGTCATTGTTATACTTAGAAGGTTTTCTCCTTATTCTACTATTTCTATGTTTCTTAGAATTTAAATCAGGAAATTCTGCTTAATTTGTCAAATACTTTATGAACATCTAGTTTAATCACATTTATTTCTCCTTTGTGTCATCAAAGGCTACATCGAGGACAAAAATTTATATCAAAAACATGTATGAGCATAATATAATTCAATAAGAATACCAGACTCTTGTTTTAATGTGACAAACTGACTCATTTAAAGTTCAAGGAAAAATAAATATTCAATAATAACTGAAAAATTATGAAATCGAACAGCAATGGGGAGATTTGCACCATCTAAATTAAAAGTGATTAAGCAGTATATTTGCAGAGGAATAATCTTAGATCACTGAATCAGTACAAAAAAATGAAGGCTTAGATTCGTGTATGGATTTATTTAACAGATGAAGAGACAGAAATATAATATAACATAAAATCATGTAATTCAAATGGCATTTTTAATTGGTGAGGAATACTATAGAGTTTACTACAAATGCTTCTGGGAAAATAGCTATTCACATATTGGAAAATATAATTATTTCTCCTACTTTACAGCAGACAAAAAATAATTTCCAAATAAATGAAAAGTTTAAATACAACAATATAAAATTATGAAAATGTGAAAATTAAACATTAGATGATATTTTCAACCTTAGGTTTGAAGAAATTTTTCCTAATCCAGACATAAAACACAGGTACCTAAAGGTAAATACTGACAGATTTACATATATGTATATTTAATTTGCAGACATGATATATAAATATGTATTTAATTTGCAGACAAATTTGAAGCAAAGTTAATTTTAAAAATAGACTGTAGGAAAATATTTGGAACACATAAAAAAGGGTTAATATTGACAGTATACAGGAAGCTCCTATAACTCAGTGAGGAACGGACAATTGAAACTAAAGTGTACATAAACAGAAAAATCAGAGCAAAAGAAATAGAGACAATAATAAAAAGTACTTCTGTTAAATCGAACTGATAATGTAGAGAATTATAAATTAAAATATCGACATACTTAACAGAATTACAAAAGCACAGATAGTTGATACTATTATTGATGAGAGTTTGGGGAACTGTTATCTTTCTTATACCATTTTTGAAAGTATACTGAACAATATTTAAAGAGTAATTTATGCATATTTATCAAATTTTAAAATGCTCACATACTGTGGCTAAGTAATCCTTATAAGAATTCATCCTACAATAACAGCACATGTATAAAGCACAGATAATAACACAAGTATATAAAGATACAGATAAAAAGACCTTTGTTCATGGATTATGTTTTATAGCTGAAAAAATAAAAATAAACTTTCACTAGCATGTGCTATGTGAAAAACAACCACAAAATCTTAGTGGATTGCAACAGTAATTTTTCATTCAATTCTGTTGCATGTTGGTTGCTATGAGGTGAACTGCGACAACTCTGCTTAAATGACAGGTCTTCTCGTTCCTCAACCCAGAATTAAGGAAAGCTTCTATCATCTGCTATTCTCATAGGGTAAGGTTATCCAAAATTTGCAGTACTTCTAAGAGCTACTGTTTGGATTGTTAAAATCTATTAAATAAATTTGCATATGCTGATCTAGAACACTCTTCATGATATGTAGAGAAAAAAAAACAATTTCAGAGAAATAGGTATAGAATTAGCTCAGTCTCTTAAAACGCAAGCACATACATACACACACACACAAAGTGTCTAAAATACATACACCTACAAAAAGAAAATGTCTGCAGAAATAAAACCTAACATGTTAATTGTTATTCTTTGATTTGAATGAATGGAAACAAGAAGCACAGCATATTTACAGGTGATTTTTTACCTGTCATTTTTTTTGTGTTTTTTTATTTTTTATGAAAGGAATTTTCAGAGGACAGTTTCCCAGTCTGAAACATATTTATAAGAATTCTTTATCAACATGTAGAGAGCAGCTATTTTATAGTCCATTTAAGAGTTATGCCAAAGAACTTGGATATTTGTCCCTTTAGTAAACATTTCTGCATCATGAAAGCCACTGCACTAGGAGTTAATGAGAAAGATAATAAGGCCTTGCCCACAGTGTATAAAGTGTGCATACATTTTAGAAAATAAAACATACCAGAGAATTACCAAATAGTGTCACTCAACGAAGCAGTATTTCCTATCAGAAAGTTGTTTCTACTAACTTCAAACCAATCATGTGATTGCTATAAAAATTTATATTGCTATAAAGTTCTTAAAATGTTTATAACTACATTTTCTGTCAGTTCACTAGCACCTAAACACCTTTATAGATGTGCTATTCAAATAATGTGTTGTGAGTGCTAAAATCCATTATGGAACCCAGAGTAGAAGAAATAGGAACATTTCTTATAGAAAGAAGTGGCACATCAGTGTGCTTTGTTTAAATTACTAAAATTGCTGCAGGCAAATGTAAGAAGGAATAACAGTTTAGACTTGGAGACCATCATAGAAAAAAGTGGACAATTATAAAGGTTATGGTACATTTAAGGAAGAGCAAGAATTCTTTTTTGGCACAAGTCGAGTGCATGACTGTATAAAATAGCAGGAAATTGTACTGGAAAAGCAGCCTAAGTCCTCACGGGAATAAATTTATATTCTATATTAGGCAGTTTGTAATTTACCCTATGGGAAATAGAGATCAAGATTTATATAATTAAGTAAAATCAAATCTGTATTTTAGAAAGAGAAATATAGTAGCACTGAAGAGGATGGAACAGAGAGAGAAAATGGAATAAGAGAAGGAGTTAAGTCCAGGATAAAGAAGATGATAAAGCACTGGGTATCAGGAAGAGAAGAAAAGAAGGAAAACAGGATGCTTCAGAAGAGAAATACATCTTTAGGAGTGCTTAAGTGTGTATGAGAGGGTGATGGAGAGTTTGATAAGAAAGGTTTAATTTAAGCATCTTTAAAACATTTCATGGAATGTCCACCAAACAGAGAAAAATTTACTCTAGAAATCAAGAGAGGGAGCAAAATGGTTGATGTAAATTGGAGAGCTATCCACACAGAAATGACCATTATAGACAGAGAAGTGAATTAGGGTAACTATTCAGAGAGATCACTGAACAAAGAGAAATTTGCCATTAAATCAACTTATAATTATGTTACTTGAGAGTCAGATATAAAAATAGAACCAGAACACAAGGTATGGAGCATAACTATTTTAAATAAATAGGGCAAAAATTAAGAGAGTTCAGAAAGGTGTAAGGGAAGGTGTAAGAGAATTTCAAACAAAGCTTATCAATACTTTTCATTATTGCTGAGATTTCAAGTATGTTGGAAAAAATAATGCTGTTAGATATAGCAATTAGGCAGTCATTGTTAGCACTGAGAAAGCAATTGCAGCACTGAAATGAGATAAGTCAAACTGAAATACTTTCAAAGGTGAATGGGGAGAAGAAAATGAAGTAGTAAGCATAGAACACTTATAGAAAGCTGTAATATAATGATCTCACTTGTATGTGGAATCCAAAAAAAGAGAAAGTCACAGAAACAGAGAGTAGAGTGCCAGAGATGGGGCTGGGAGTGGTAGGAGAAATGGGGAGATGTTGGTTAAAGGGAACAAATTTTCAGTTATAAGATGAATAATTTCTGATGATCTCATGTACAGTCTGGTGATTATAGTTAATAATACTGTATTAACACATTACTAAGAAAGTAAATCTTAAATATTCTCACCACACACACATGCACACTCACACACACACAGAGTAATTATGTGAGGATAGAGGTGTTAACTAACTTTTTAATTATTTTTAATTATTTTGCAGTATAAGTATCTCAAATCATCATGTTGTACACCTTAAACATATACAATGTTAAGTGTCAATTTTACATCAATAAAGCTGGAAAAAAAGAACGAATTGTGAAATATTCAGAATTTTGTGAAGCCTTGATAAGACTTTGGTAGCTTAAAATCAGCCAAGGTGAGACTATTTATACCATGAAAATTGGAAAAAAAAAAAAAAAAAGAAGAAGAAGATGTAGAAGAAGGAGTAAATGGGAGAGAAGAAAATGAAATAATGAGCATGGAAGACTTACCGGAAGTTAAGCATTAAATAGAAAAAGAAAGATTGGTAATTAATGTTGAAGGAAAGAGATAGCATTTAGTATTTTCTGAATACAAAATGATACAGTATTATTATTTAAAATATAAAAATCGGACACAAATATTAGAAAATTAAAAAAGTTAAAAGTAACCATTAAATTACCAAGAGATATAAACTTCAAATTGACACAAATGACAGTGTGGTCACAAGCTCTTTTGTTAAATAGAAGGAAGAAGAGATAGAAAACTGAGGAAATATTATAACATTTAAGTTTTATGGGAATGTATATAAATTATTTCAGTGTAGGTCTTTGTTTAGTCTGAGTGGTCTAATTCACAGTTATAAGAACGGAGTAGTTTTAATATTAATGTCTCAATTATGCTATCATGTGTCCTAGAGTACTTAATAAATATAAATGAAAGTACTGCCATTTAGATTGCTTAATCAACCCAAGGCTTTGCTTCTTTCTCTTTGTAGATTTTTGTTAACCCAATACTGGGTAACTATACCTCTCTCTAATTAAACTAACCTCCTTACAGAGGACATTTTATCAAACCTCACACTTTTAGTCATCACGAGTTTTCAATTATTGTTGAAAATACTGAGCTCGTGAACATCATTGTGTAAAAAACACTCATTTTGATAAGCGACATCACAAAGCCATAATATATATTTTAATGTGGTTATAATTGTGCAGTTTTGAATTTAAAGTCTCTTCGCAGGTACTGTGTTGCTATGATTTTGCATACGGTATGTGCTCATCTTTTAAAAAGCAATTTCTCTTTTAGTGAAGACGTGTGGCTCTAATCTTCAAGGACCAAGCGGAACCTTTACGTCTCCCAACTTTCCATTCCAGTATGACAGCAATGCACAATGCGTCTGGGTTGTCACTGCAGTGAATACAAATAAGGTAAGAAAATTGTCTCTGGTAGTGAAGCATAATCACAGACAAAGGAAGAGATCACGAGTAAAGTGCAGTGAAAAAAATTCATAAACAAAGTGTGATTTCTGCAACATTTTCTACTTATCCATTATTTAAAACACAACCATATATGAGAAATTTGGAAAAACAAACTTAAAATAATGCAATTCTAGTCTCAGTTACTAAAATGTAAATGACAACACATTAAAATTATAAGTGAATGTTTTTTAAGATATGTTTTTGAAAGTTATAAGTATATATTTCTTTTTTAAAAAAGAAGCCATGAATGATAGCTTTTCACTTCATATCTTTTTTGCTTGACATGCTCAGGTTTATCATGTTTTTATGTATAGCTGACTTTCAATGTTTCTCTCCTGCCATATGTCACACAGCTATTCTTTATTATAAATAGCCGATTTTAATGCGCTCTGTACTAATAGACGATTCATATTATAATATTTTAAAAGGTTGAATTGTCTTTCTACTTGACTAAAAATGAATAATAAATCAAAATATCTATCAGCCACAATACTGCAAACAATTAAAATGCTGAATGAGTGCAAGAGCAGCTAAATAAATTAGCTAGTTTTCTTCACCCACTCTATCCTGCTTTTCTCCTTGTAAGAATATAGAAAGGACCTAAATAGTAAGAATCTAAATTCCTTTCAGATTGTATGATACCTTCTGGGTTAGATTAAGGAAAGTTGGGTGGTAAAGCCCATAAAACTGTGTCAGATTGTGTTCAAATAATGATTTAGAATTTACTAACTGGCAACTTTGATCAAGTCATTTAACCTCTCTGAAATTCAGTTTCTTTATCTATAAAACACATTAACTCATTGTAATTACATAAAGTGTATACTACTTCCCAGAATGTTTTAGGTTTTGATTTAAGAAACCTAATCCGAAGAGCAGCAGTGTTTTAAAAGTCAACTCAGTGGTCAGTTATACTTGCCTCATAGGAGAGCTCTGATTTTATGAATCAGAAAACTAGATCAGAAGTCTACTCTGCCCCAAACTATCTATATAAATTTGGCAAAATCACTTACTCTAAGCTTTCAACTGCATAAAGGAATTCGTGATAGCCACCCAACCTGAGTCATCAGTTAAGTTCAATTCAACAAAAATTTATTTATCAAATACCTTCTCTGTGCAAGTTATGGGTTGTTGAGAAAAAAATTATGAAGTACTCGAAAAATAAACTCACATTTATTGAACACTTAGCAAGATGCCAGGTAAAATTCCCAGCACTTTTTTTTAGTTAATCCTCATAAGGACTCCCTCTATGAGGAAGATACTTTTATTTCTGCATTTAACAGAGGCTAAATAACTTGTCTAAGATCACATAACCAGCAACGGTCAGAGCTGTGTACTTTATAAGATATGTGTTATTTACAAAGCTATAATCTCACACAGATATAAGTATTTTACACAAATATAAGCATGAAATAAGTTCATTGTGAAGTACAGAGCAAACACATTGTATTAATCTTGCATTGAGATGGAAATCTTTTTGTGTCATGGTAATTACCTATAATTGTCATCAAAATGTGATAATTATCTCCTCTTCTATAAGATGTCTGCTTTGCTAAATTTAATTCATTCTCATTGCTGAGCTACCTGAAGTTTCACAGAGGTCATCACATTTCTTCTTATTCATTTTACCTAATCTGCCAAACTTAAATCTCTCCTTTTTCTCTCTAAAAAATCCAATTTATTTTCTGAGGAGGACATAATTACTTTTACTTCTTTTTTTCTTTTCCAAATAGCTAACTGAAGACATTAATTTTGATCTGTTGGCTTACCTCTATTTTAAGATAATCTATAGAAATTAGTTTTCAAGCATTTTTAAGAATGGCCCACAGTTAGAATTATATTGTGGCCTAGTTCGTTCTCTCTCTCTCTCTCTCTCTCTCTCTCTCTCTCTCTCTCTCTCTCTCTCTCTCTCTCTCTCTCTCACACACACACACACACACACACACAGACACACACACACACACACACACACACGTGTGTGGCAAAATAATTTCACTTACTACAAAAATGTACTTTTCTATTTTTTATTCTAATCTGTTGTAATCTATTTATTTTTAAGATATCAGTCATTCCTCACTAAATCAATTTCATGACACGCTAACAAATTATATCAGATAGTTTGAAAAATATTGTTTAAAGATCTGCTTCCATTAATTACCACGTCAGAAACTCTTTTTGAAAGGTAGTCGTTGGCATGAACCATAAGCACAGAGCTCTACCAGTTGGTATAAACTGTAATTAACCAAGATTCTTAATATCTCAGTGTCTATAATTTTCTTCAAAAATTCGCTTATATTTTTCTTTATGTTTGATTATTTTAAAAGTAACCATGGTGTCCTAAATGTCCAAAACAAATATATATTTGGTGGAAAAAAACTGAGATTTAAAACTCGAAGAAACTGGATGGAACTAGTTTCAAATCTGTACTGTCTTTCTTACTAGTTTTACAATTTTAGGCAGGCATGATCTTTGAGTTCTCTGAATCACAGTTTTTAAAAAAATCCTTTTAGAAATGATAAAACCATATCATAAAGTTGTTTTACTGATTAGATAAGAAAATACAAAATGTTTGATTCAAAGTAGAATCCCTTTAAATGAATTATTATTATTGCCAAATGTCATTTTGTCAAGGAATATTCTCTAGTTGTTATATTTAATTTATGTATTAATACAGAAAAAACATCAAAACATAATATTTTCTTCCATCTGTGATTATGTGGTTGAATAATTTATAGGTAACTATCTTATACTAAAATATTAAACATTAAAATGTCATTTTTACTGATCAGTTTATAAACATTGCCATTAAACTTACTAAAAGTAAAATATAATTACTGAGCAATACAATCTTAAAGTAATACATATTTTTAAGGTTATTTTTTACTCCTTCCACAAGCTTCTGTAAGGCAATATTTCCTTTAATTATAGTATTTTAGTGATGAATGCAATTGACGGTTTCTTCATAAAGGCAAGTTAAAATATTAGAGGTGATATTTTAATTGCCTAGTCATTGAGTTAATTTTTCTTCTTGCATTAGATATGCATTTAACATTCGTATCCTGTGTGAAATAACTAATTTTCTGTCTTGAATTTTTCTTAATTTCTATTAGGGTGATCTTTCCCAAGTTAGGTGGTCTAGTGCCTTTGTCTTTAATCTGAGATATGTGTATCCCTGGGGTACAAAAACAATTCCTGCGGTGTACACGGGGGCCTGGATACCCTAAGATATTCCACTTTTTAGCACTGTCCTTCCTGATGACCCACCTCTGTTTGTTCCCTTTTCTCACTCTCCCTTTTATGATTGTCATTCACAGTGTCATAAGAAGGTCGGTCATTTATTACTTTTCCAGCTGAAATATTAATATTTACATTACTTGAGTGTAAATAAAACTCTGGAGATCCAGAGTAAGAAATTTCATTTGTATAGCTCTTGAGCCAGAGTCTTTTAGAAAAAGCAAAAATAGATTCACTAAAAATATTTGAAGGAGACATTTACTTATTTTATCCAAACCATATCCTTGAAAGATCCATCTCTTTATCTGTGTATCTATGTATGTATACCTGTCTGTCTGTCTGTCTCATCTACCCATCCATTCACTAATCTATGCACCTATTTTTTATCCATCTGCCTGTATCTCTGTCTATCCTAGAACTATAATTCAGGATACATAGGAGTATATTATAGACTAATTTGAACTGAAGCACAAAGCCTAACTTTTTGAACAGAAGAAATTACTGAAATGTCTGATTGATTTTACAGGTTTTTCCATTTATAATATACAGTGGATATTTTCTAGAAATTAAATAAACTAATGCATGATTTTAAGGAAATAATATTTAATATATTTGTACAACTACAGTATAATGGAAACTGCATTCTTTACATATGTTCATACTTAGAATTTTTTAGAAGACATCTATTTAAAATTGTATGAAAAAATAGTTTTCAAAATTGTTTTATCTTTATGTACAAAATTGTTTGAAAGCTGTTTAGACCAGCACTTCCAACAGAAATGTGATGTGAGACACATATATAATTTGAAATTTTTCTAGTAGTTACATTTTTTAAAAGATGAACTTAATTTTGTTATATTCTGTTTAACCCCAATATTATAATTTCAACATGTAATTAGCATAAAATTATTAATGCAATAATTTACCATAATTTTTTATTCTAATTCTTTGAAATCCAGAGTGTTTTTAACATTTAAAGGGCATCTCAATTCAGACGAGTTACATTTCAAATGCTCTGTAGTCATATGTTGCTGATGGCTGCCATACTGTACAGGGAAAATATTGAACATTTCCATCACCATAGAGAGTTTGACTGCTCTGCTTTAGAGAATATGAGTGGCGATGGTAGTTGCTCTTGAGGAGAATAAATGTCCCATTGCAACGGTTTTGCCTCAGGTGAAGTTTTTACAGAGGCTTCAAGGAAGGGGAGAAAGGGAGGCTCCCATTAGCAAAGGTGGCACAGATGACTTGGTGTCATCCAAAACATCCAAATGTCTATTTCATTCCAAAGCATCCAAATGTCTATTTCAAATTTTGGGATCCCATTTCTTCTCAATCAGTGCCCTAATTTTCACATGAGAAATTGTGAATCTATAAGTTCAGCTTACATTCTAATTATGCAACTTTCATAATTAAATTATGGGTATAATGTTCAGCCATGTATTCCCAGTGCTACACAGTCACCATAGAAGGTTTCTTGTTCTCTGATCATGACAGTAATTTTATTTTTTTCTAACTCCAGCGCAGTCATCAATAGTCATCTCCTTTTATAGTCCTTGTAGTTTTGAGTATGATTACCATCAAATGCAACAACTGCTTGCCTTGCCTCCTTAAACCTTGCCTTCAATATATGTTTCACTCATTTACAAGTAACAGATTATGCCGTTTTCTACAAACCAGGGATTCTGGTGTGTCAAGGCCAAAAAATAAGCACAGCG